GATGATCTTGTCCTTGTCGATCCCCTCCCACGTCCACAGGTGTTTGTGATCCTCATTCAGGAAGATGGTCTGGTAGACGTGGCGCTCGGGCTCGGGCGGCAGGGCGTCCTCGCCGATCGCCTCCCGGAACTGATGCTGGTAGTGGGTGCAGTCGAAGCCCATCTCGATCTTGTCGGGGTCCGAGTCGAAGGAGTGGGTGAAGTACATGGGGGCGAAGCCCTCCCAGCCGTCCGTGCGGCAGCGCGGCGGCATCTGCTGCGCGAAGGCGATCTGCTCCTGGCGGGTCTCGGAGCTGCCCTTGCCGCAGAGCTCCTCCTTGTAGCGGGTCTCGAACAGGCTGTTGAAGTACTCGGAGTCGGTGTGCGTGATGGTCAGGTCGTTGAAGAACTTGACGCCGTTCAGCACGTACCGCTCGCGCCAGGTCGCGTGCGCGCCCAGCATCGACAGCGCCTCGTCGGCGGGGCAGCACAGGATCAGCTCGTCGAAGTCCTCCACCGTCCCCTTGCCGGCCTCGTTGGGGCGTTCCTGCTGGCCGTCCTTCACCGACCGTAGACGCAGCTTGACTTGTTTATTTTTTCGGTCCAACACATCGGCCTCCGTCTCCAGGAGCACCCGCACCCCTTTCGCCACCAGATCCCCCTTCCAGTCGTGGTAAAACTCCCCCAGGTTGGGGAAGGTGTACATCTGCGGCCGGTTCTGCATCAGCATGTCCTCGTCGTACTCCCACAGGCGCATCTGCGGATCGTCGAACAGCCGCTCCAGCAGCACGCACGCCACGTTGGGGGTCTGGTTGCCCGTCCCCAGGAACAGCGCGATCAGCGGCAGCACCATCTTGAGCCCGAAGTCCGTGCTGAAGCGGAACAGCCGCAGCATCGTCTTGATGGGCATCAGGCCCAGGATCGGCATCAGCCGCTTGATCCAGCGCAGCACGCGGCCCAGCTTGCTGATCTCCGCCGAGTAGGTGTCCACCAACGGGCTGGGGAACACGTTGGTGAAGAAGCTGTCTCGCCCTTTGCCGAAGGAGACCTGCAGCTGCACGGGGTGCGGCTCGTAGCCGTACTTCTCGAAGAAGTGGAAGGTGTGGCGGAAGATTGGGGAGCCGCCTTGCACCCCGTCGTTGAGCCAGGTCGCGCCGCCATGCTTTGCGGCGTCAAGGGGGATTGTGGTCGCTTGGCCGCCGGTCTGCGGGGCGCTGTCGATGAGGGTAATGTCAAATTTGTTGGGGTGGTTGGCTAGGGTGGAGGCGCAGGACTTTGGGGTTTCAGTGAGGTGTTAGCGTGGGTGTGCTGGGTTGCGGTGATGGTGATAGTGATGATGATGGAGACTGCAGGGATGCGGAAATACTTACCATACCTGCAGCCCCGGCGCCGATGACTACCACTCTCTTCTTGTTATCATTCTGGGCCATTGTGAATGCCTATACTAGGTTTTGAGAAGGTCATCACATGAAGGTCGCTCATCAAGAAATGCATCGGTCTTGACGAGATGTATATCTAGGAGGTGAGTCAATGACGTCAATGCTCGGTCGCGGAGAAATCATGCGCTGTTAATCCATTAAGTCATCCTGAGGGCATGAGTAGATCGATTCTTATCCCGGCTTTTTCAGATAAGGTTTTGGCGATCCGATCTCGATCTGCTTGGTGTAGTTTGAGTTCGTGAATGATCCTTCACTGTGGAAGTTCTGTTCCGTTGTTGTTCAAGGTTATTTTAGTAGCATTGTTTCATTGTCCAAAAACTGTCTCATATAATCCTGCGGGAGTGTCGTCCATGATGATATGAAACTCTAATCATTCTCAGAACACCAAAGCTGGTTCTAGTTGAGCCAGTTTGGTTTCAGGTCAAACCTCCCTTCTGGAATTGTTAAATGTAAGATAAACAGCTTTGCAAGGCTCCCAGTTCTCAGCTCCCGACCCCGCCTCGCTGGCAGTGTTTCAGAGATCGCTCAAGTAGGAGTTTTTGCTGCGGAACTAAGTGTCTGTTTGTATAAAATGGCAACTTCTCACAGAGACCGAGTCGGCTTTATGAGTGGGGACGAGGTTTGCCTGGAAACACACCTGAGGTGGTATATCTCCATCGATGCGGCGTCGGTGACCGGAAGGACACAACAACTACCTCCTTGTTCAGACAGCTCGCAAGCGAAGAGGCTAACCACTGAAAAACAGACCGCTGCATCATAGCATTTGCGTGGTTTCATGAGCTGACACATATAGCGCACCCTGGAGCATTTCGCAAGACAACTCCTAGCACTCCGTTCTTTGGAGACGCTGTGACGACAGAATCAGGGATCGGCGTGTCCTTCAGTCATCAAGGTGACAGAAGACGAAAACCTGTAGGTCTGTGTAGTTTTCCGAGGATGGTTTGGGGTGTATCCAAAGTTGACACAGGAACATCGGCCAACACACTTGTGGGTCTGTGGTTCGTCAATTCCAATATTACTGGGGTCAGATCTGTACAGTGTCCAGTGCCGAGAACAAGATGTAGATGAGATGCGAGGTCACTGAGATGAAACAGGCCGATGTACAGGACAATGCAGATGATAAGATGGTAGGAGGTGGAGGATGGAAGCGGCGGGAGGTGTTGGAGCGGGCCAAGGTGGACAGACCTGCCATTTGTGTTCTTCTGAGCGGAAAACTAAGTACCTCTTGGATCTCGGAGAAAGAAACACGATGGAAGTATGAAGTCACTTGACTGACAATGCTCTTTTCCCTTTGATATACTCATGCAGCTAGCTCGTGCTCTTTACAAGAGGGATATTTGGTAGCCAATCCAGGGAGCTTGAATAGGCATAGACAGAAGTAACCAGGTGCAGTGTCTGGAGGACACAATATGAAGCTGGGATTTGGTCTACTTCGAAGTGGTAGCTCATACGGGGAAAAGAGAATATATCAAAACTTTACACTGCTGGTTGGCCAGTCAACTCAATAGTTTATTTCCATGAAAATGAAGTTTTGGTCAATACCAAGGTTTTTGACACCTTGGATGCAGTAAAAGAAATCATTTCGCATACACTCTGCAGATTGCTTTACCCTCTTGCAGTCAAAGTGACTGATCTGTCGGTCAACTACCCATGAAAACTCATATCTGATAGGTGTCATTTTTGTTTGACTTCCTATGATTAGCTCGAGATAGATCTTCACAGCGGATGGTTATGTGCGGTATGCTGCCTGTGCATGTGCCAATGTATAGTCCTGCACAGTCCTGTACCCGGACGATCACTCTGCTTTGCCTGACAGCTTGGTGTGTGGCTTCTGTAATTCTGGACGCGCCCTGAACAAAATCCGCATATGGTGTTGCGAACGTCACGATTATCTTTGATCACAGCACACAAACCAAAATGAAGTATCTCTAAAGAGATAAGATATTGTGGAGGAAGCATGCCTCGTAGACACGGGTCGGCTTGCATTCGACAGTAAATGTCTACATGTCCAAATGAGTGATCGGTCATGTCAAGCGTATTATGCACACAGACAAGTGCACATAGGTTGGTGCAGCATAATCGTTGGGCGATAAAAGTGAACTTACTCCGGCCCCGATCGATCCAAGCCGTAAACATCGTCAATGGTTGGCATTCATTAGATGAAATTCAGGTGATCATTGTGCCCGTCTCCATGTTAATGGTCGCAATTGGTCGTCTCTTCTATGGTGAGGTGGCACTCTTCGTAACAGAGTCTGAGTAGTCATTATCATTATCTCGGGGCTTCGTATCGCATGTCGGTCCCACGGGGCTGATGGGCTGATTGTACAGCCACAAGCATTGTCCATTAATCGTGAATCGGCTTCCGAAGCCGTGGAAAGTAGAAAAGAAAGAAGACAATGACGGCGAGCAAGACGACCAAGGTAGGCAAAAACATGAATGTAAAGAGAAAGACACTCAGCCCGAAGGCAGCGTTCTGGCCCGGAAAGAATCGACGAGCCATTAAGTCGAGAGTGGCGGCGAGCATGGATACGGGGGATTTTGGTCAAGAGATGATAAGCGCTAACTATTGTTCCACAGGTTGATGGTCTAGCGATAGTGGCGAGCAGGGATGTAGAGTATATCGACGGCGAGGAGGAGAATTAAATCGCTAATGGTTGAGGTAGCCAAGGGTTTGGTGGGGAGAGTGAAGCAGAAGTGATGCGATCGCGGGTTGATGGTGTGGTGTCGATCCAACAAGACGGTGATAGTTAAGCATTTATAGACATCAACTCAAGGTCTCAAGGTTGCCCGGGAGGCCCATCCGGCGCAGGAAGAAAAAGCTTGCTGGATGATTTGCAGTTGCAGGGTTCGATAACGATGGATTGGAAATGAATATGCCTGTTGAACCACCCAGAGGTCCAAATTAGATGAGTGAGGGATCCGCGGACCACGGTCGGAGTGGAAGGAAGTTTCCAGAGATGGGATGATTGGAACTAAACAAATTTGAGGTTGGACTGCCGCGATGGTAATGACCTTGTATCGTAATAATGGATGCCTGCAAGGTGGCTGCATTATCGACCCCAAATGAAGTTTTCATTGGTGGTGATTGCTGTTGCCCCATGTGGCGCCACATTCACCTGTCTACTTTCGGTCTAGTGGTTTTATCAATGCTGTTACGGGATGACGCAAGGAGTTCCAAGTTACCGTTACCCCGTATGTACCGGATCACGGCGGTTTTGGCACAGGCAGCAGGAATTCCTTCCAGAACAACTGAGCCACTCTTTCCTTGCGGTCGCAATGCGTCAATTCCAAATAAACTCGAAGCGTGGAGCGAAGACAAAATCTACCTAGTATGCAGAATTATCTTAGTGGGTCAATGATGAGACCAGGGATTGGGGAACATTGGCTGGGCAGAGTACTCGTACTGTACCTATAGGTCCTGGTAAACTGGTACGTAGAGTGCAGCCCTGCGTAGCGCTGAGAAAAGTGGCAGGGGCGGAACCATTGGCCACATTGCCTTGTAGGGCTGAGGCTAGTACTGGCTGACCTTGGCGGTTGGAGGATTATTATTATTTTTATCATCAAGTCACTCTCACTTCTCATCGTCTTTCAACTCTGTCCTGTCCAAAATCACTTATTAATCCACAGTCATGGTTTAGTGCTAAATATCCAGAGGCTGCCCACCACCCACTTCATATTCTTTCTTAGTCTCTTTAGTTCTTTTCTCCTTACACACACTTACTTCTTTCCCCTCCCCCCATCCCTTCGCTTCCCCATTTCCCATTTTACTCCTCTTGTTTTTCAATTGCCCCCCCTCTCCCCCCCCCTTCTTTCTCCAAACACACGGAGTGTGGATGCATCCGTGAGCCTCCCCCACCGCCGCGCGGAGATGAGGCTATCCCACTCGCTACTTTGACTCCCCCGCCCACCATCGATATCCTTTCGAATCTCGATATCATCATCCCTTCCTTTGATCTCTTATCTTCCTTTCGTCCATTCTCTTCTGTCACGACCTCCAACCCCCTCCGATCAACTCGAGATGGGGCTCTTTGCCGGTCATCAGCCCGTCGACCATGCCGAGCTGGATAATTTCGGCGTCGACTGGGTCATCCACTACTCATTCGAAGATCTCGGTAAGGAGTGTACCTCAACCACAACCATGATTGACAACAACGTTAGCTTACAGCCACATCCTCGGTGCAGAAATCTCGCAGGCCATTTCCGAGTTTCGAACTTTAGTCCACGACTTGGAGGAGGCGCATCTGCAGGTCCAGGTTCGCCATGGTTACGGACCCTCCCTGCTGGTCTTCATTCGCGTTCCCCCTGATCTCCTGGGGAACATGGTCTACAAATCTCGGTATTTTTGAGCCTGGGGCACCCCACCCATCCCACTCACCCACCCTCGCATCCCTAATCTAACAATCGCTTAGAGTCAAGGATTGGTTACACGGCATTATCCATGAGTTCCCTGCAGGCGACGATCACACGGTGGTTGAGTCTGAGACTGCCGCGGAAGCCCTCCGGTCGGTCTATCATGCGGTGACTTGGCAGAAACACTTGGGAGGGGCGGGAATCACCCCCAAAATCGGCCAGTGGAAGAATATTCAGGCCGCCATCCCTCTCCAGGACCGCGCCGCTAATGCCGAACTCTTGCGCAAATGGAGTAAGACGCTCAATATTACCGCCGAAGATCTCGACGCTATCCGGGCGCTGTTCGGCGAAAAGGTAAGCACTCTTTTTTTCCCCATTCCTCGTTGGATTTGGACTTCCTCCACGCGCTTGCGCATAATAGATACTGATCACATGCCCTGAACAAACTAGGTCGCTTTCTATTTTGCCTTCATCCACTGCTATTCCACTTTTCTCGTCTTCCCCGCCGTCTGGGGCATTTTCTGCTGGTTCTATCTGGGCCCTTATTCCATCACTTGCGCTCTTGTCAACTGCCTCTGGTGTATTATCTTTGTTGAGTACTGGAAGACTCGCGAGATTGATTTGAGCCTACGGTGGAATGTTCGGGATGTCGGCATTCTCAAGGTCAATCGACCGGAATGGGTGTGGGATAAAGAAGTCCAAAACTCCGTTACAGGGGAGACGGTGAAGGTGTTTTCGACGCAAAAGCAGTTCCTCAGGCAGCTGCTACTTATCCCCTTTGCGACCGTAGCTGCTCTAGCCTTGGGCACTTTGATCATCTTGTCATTTGCTTCCGAGGTATTGGTCTCCGAAATATATACTGGTCCCTTTAAGGGCTACCTGGAGTTTCTTCCAACCATCCTGTTCTCCCTCTCGCTGCCGTGGATCACCAATACGCTCACCGAGTTCGCCAAGCAGTTGACCGACTACGAAAATTACCGCACGCAGGACCAGTACGATGTCGCCCAGACTTCCAAGACCTTTGTCATGCATTTCATCACCGCCTTCCTGCCTACCTTGCTGACTGCATTTGTTTACGTGCCGTTTGGCACGAAGCTGGTCCCTTATCTGGACGTCTTCCGCACTTATGGCCTCATGTCTGCTAATCTTGCCAAGGAGATTCACATTGATCCGGCCCGCCTTCAGCAAGAGGTAATCTACTTGTCTGCGACCGCCCAACTGCTCAATTTTGGCGAGGAGATTGTGCTCCCCTACGTCAAGCAGACGCTAATGCACAAGTGGCGCACCTATCGCGACGGTCGCGATGCCGCTCGCATGCCTCGTCGTCATTCCCAGCGGACTGATTTGTTACTCGTCGATGCACCCGAAGAGGCGGCATTCCTTGCGCGTGTGCGCGATGAAGTGGAAGCGGATGAATACAACGTTCATGACGACACTTTGGAGATGTGTGTACAGTTTGGATATCTGGCCCTTTTTGGAGTGGCCTGGCCCTTGGTGCCGCTCGGATTCTTAGCCAACAACTGGCTAGAGCTGCGAGGCGACTTCTTCAAGCTCAGTCTGGAATGCCAGCGACCCCCGCCGATTCGGGCGGACTCGATCGGCCCGTCTCTGCAGGGACTGGAAGTGCTTGCCTGGCTAGGAACGCTTTCCACGGCCGCGGTCGTTTATCTATATCGTAATAGCATGGAAGGAGTGCAGTTCTCCTCCTTCCTGCTGACCCTGCTTCTGGCGGAGTGGGCGTATCTTGGCGTCCGGTTTGTGGTTCAGACCGGCATGGAAAGGATTAGCTCCGTAACCCTCAAACGGGCAGAGGCCAAGCGGTACGGCATGCGCAAGCGCTACCTCGAGGCTACGTCAGGCAATGTTTCCCCGCGGGGCAAGCCGCGGGTCCGGTTCGAGGACAAGGTCAGTGTGTACACCACCGGTACCGATGTGAGCACCAGTAAGGAGGGGCTTTTGCAGCCGGGACACGATGGCCTGCACCATGGACGCCAATTCTGGTCATGGGCACCTCAGGAGGCTGCTGATGCTGGTGTACGCATGATCAAGGCATTGAACACCACGATGGACGGGTCGAGAACTGGGCCGACCAAGGTGGCCAAGGGAGCATAGGGCCGTTTTACTGTATTCCTTAACCCACTCGTTGTAAATGATGAACTTCCTTTTTATTTTTTTTCCGTCGAATGAGTCCTGTCTTTGTAGTGTCGAGAAGTATGTTAGGGGGGAGTACCTACTACCTTAATGTGCATGAGCACCTTTTGAAGTGGCAGGCTGCAATCTGCACGGGTGTCTTCCCTTTGACTTTTCCCCTCTCCATCGGACCTGATTTTGAACCACCACTACTTAGGCTCCTGGAATATTTCTCAGATGACAACGCCATGGATCCGAATTATCTGATCGCATGATTGCGAAATCCGATGAAAGCTAAACAGCATTGAGTTTTCGGTGCTCGTGGGTTGAACAAGCGTCAGCCCTATAAGGCATGCCAAGTGCGGATACTCCCAGGCGACCGGCCAATCAACTGGCCGACCGACATTCCGGACTCCATTCTTGCCCGCTAGTTTGTTGCGCGTCTCTCTTTCCAGCTTCTCTGCCAAGTTCCAACTTCTCTTTCGTCTTCCCTCTTTCTCTTCTCTTTCCCATCCAGCTTCTTCATTCCCCCCCGACCACCCACATCTCCTATAATTTCCCCTTCTTCTTTATGCCATCCCTGGCGTCTTCTCCCTCTAATTCCCCTTTCCTCCTTTCCCTCTCCCTCTCTCTCCAGGGCTGTTCCTCCACCGCCGGCTGGAGGGGCTCCATCCCCTCAGGTCTCGCTGCCCCCGATGCGCCCCTCGCAGGACACCCTCCCCCCGATCGTCTCCGATAAGGTCCTGCATCACGAAGAGCATGAGACGGGCTCTCTACCTCCAGCATCCGTCACTCTCTTACGGCAACGACGAAAACTTCACGTCATCAATCCATTGTGGTACCGCAACAGTCTGCTGGCGAGCGTGGGGTTCCTGGAGTTCGCCAATGCGGGTGACTTTGCTGCTAATGTGTGGAACGATGTCCCCGTCCCGTTATACGCCATTATCTTCATGGCGATTGGAGGCCCTCTAGCACTGTTGATCAGCGGGTTTGCTGTCCGCGACAGTGTGCTCAGCTGGCAGAACGTCCGGATCCTCCAACGAGAGCGCACGTACCTCAAATCCCTACAGGCCCAGCACCTCGAATGTCCCGCACCGGATGCCACCACACTCCGTTTCATCGACCGCCGTCTGGGGGTCAGCCACCGCGAACTGGGCACCGAACTGGTCGATCGCATCGTCATGGACGTGTTCCTCGGGATCGGCGGCCTTCTGGTCGGCACGGGCACGATTATGGCCATCTGGGGCTCCGACCGACACGTATACTTCATCAGCAACCTGCTCTCGGGGTACGTCGGCAACTCCTTCGCGGCCATCTACGGCATCATCAATGCCATCTGGTCCGCCTATCTGGTCTGGCGCTTTCACAGCTACGAACGCGCGTGCTCCCGGTCGGGGGCCATGCTCGCCCCGTTCCGCGACCGACTTCAGCGTCGCTTCCAATGCTTCAAGTGGCACGCCGTCGCGTCCGGGTGGACCGGCCTCATCGCCGGTGGCGCCTCGATGATGACCTCCCGGCTCTGGGAGGGCTACGTTGTCCTCATCCCGTGCATGCTGTTGGAGGTTGCCTGCAACCGCTTCTGGCGCGGTCAACTCGGCTACGACCGTCCCATCGTCGCCCCCGACTCTCCCCTCCACCGGGGCATCTTAGTCCCCGAGTCTCCCTACAACCCAGCCAGCAACAGCAACAGCAACAGCAACAGCAGCAGTCCACAACTGGGCTACCCCAAGCCGACAATCTCAGTTCCCGACCACAAGACCGAACGAGACCCCAACATGAACCCCGACGAAGAGGAAAAAGAAGAAGACCGCCTACTCCTCGACGCCCTCTCTTCCGTAATCAGCCTCCAGACCGCCCTTGTGCCCGTCCTCCCCTCCACCCTCGTCCTGGAAGACGTAGACTGGACCTCTCTCGACTCCCTCTTGCTCTTCATAGTCAACAACCACCTGTTCGACTGCCTCTGCGACTGGCTCGCCACCAACCCTGCCGTCCCGAGGGATTTCCGTCACCGCGTCTTCCGGCTAGCGACCAGCCCATCCTTCTCGGAGATCACCGTCACGTTGACCGATCTCCGCCATCTGAGCGACGTGGGAGATCGACCCCGCATGCTGGAAATGTGTCAACTCTTCTTGCAGACCGAAGCCCGGCAGGTGATGATCGGTCGCGAACGGTATCTCCTTGAAATGGTGGGGTATACGATTTGGAAGAACGATTGAACCCTTGTCCATCTTGGTTCTTTTCGCCATTGGGACAGAATCCGAATATGCAATCAAATCACCCATAGACTGGGTGTGTGTCGTCTTCCTTTCTGCAATCCATTTGTATAGAACATCAGCGGAAGCGAAAACTTGTTTGTTTTTTTGTGCTTGTTGAGCATAGCATATATATATATTCGTGTGTGCATTGTGTTTTCCCATGAGCGATGATGATGAGATAATGCGATGTGCTGTGACGTGACCTGGTGCGATGCTGGGTTTGGCTAGTTTTGGACTCGAATTGTGGATCGTGAAGTCGAAGTGAAGTCTGGGATTTCTAGTTTAATGATCTGTTTCATCTCGAATCGAGTCGAGTTGAGTTGAGTCGAGTGAGGAAGGAAGGGTGCCGGTTCACTTACTTTCTTTCTGTGGGTTTGTCTTGGTTGATGTGCTTGCTTGAGCGTGAGCGTGAACATTGGCATGAGCATGAGCGAGACTCGGTTCTGGTTTCTTTTCATATATAGATTGAGTTCTAATGTGTATCTTGATCGGTACTAAGGTCTTCCACTCAATAAGTGAATAAGTGTTCTTCGGGCAGGCGTTGTAGGTTCCTGGAATTGAAGCTGATTTGGGTTGGGTTGAGGAGGGAGATCCAGCCCCGGGGGGAGTTGGAGTATGCTACCACTCATACATAGCAGGATTGCTTGGAGTTTTGAGGCATACCATCAGCCTGGATTGTATGCGGTTGAGCTTGGAGGTGTAAGTTACTGTACTGTACGTAATCTGATCTAACCTCCCAGTGTCATTCAGACCTCTTATATTCCTCTTTTGGCGGCGTGGTGAATCTCATGGATATGTTTGATATTCACCAATGTAAGCTTACGATTCGATAGTCTATAAACCAGCAACCAGTGCCATCCCCAAGAACCTGAGCTCCTCCTCCCTAAAAGCTAAACAGCCCACTGCGCCGCTTTCCAAACGGATACACCACCAACGCGGCGACGAACAACCCGACCGTGATGCCGATCGCGACCTGGATCATTCCGAACCCCAAGATATTCGAGGATTCAGAACTCTGCGATGACGAGGTGGTGGTAGTATGGTTCTTGGTGACGTTGGAGCGGATCTGGTCGGCCGTGTCGACGCCGGTGATGAGGCTGCCGGTGGCGGCGAGGCCGGAGGGGACCAGCACGAAGATGGCCGGGAGGACGGCGGCGGCGGCGTGGCCGTGCCAGAGGCGGCTGTAGAGGTTGCCGATGACGCCGACGACGAAGGCGCCGACCGTGTTGGCGACCTGCGAGTTGTTGCCCAGGCGCGCGGAGACGAAGTAGTTGGTGACGTAGCCGGCCATGGAGATGGTGGTCATCACGGGGGCCTGCTTCCATTTGCCCTGGTTGACCACGAGGAGGCACACCGAGAAGAGCGCGACGAAGGGGAAGCGCTGGAGGTACGGGTCCTTGAAGGCGCCGGCCGAGGGGCAGCTGAGGCTGGAGGTCGCCGTCTTGTCGATCAGCCCGTAGATCGTCGTGCCGACGGTGACGCCGTAGCCCAGGAAGAGCGAGTAGATGATCGCGTAGACCATCCGGATGGACCCGGCGACGATCTGGTGCGATTGCAGCTCCAGGCTGCTGCACAGCACCGTGTAGCCGGGGAGGATGAGCGCGATCGAGGACTGCGCGATGGCCGAGAAGCAGAAGAGCCGGCCGGAGCCGTGCGGGCGATGGATGCTGCCGAAGGCTCGCGCCAGGAAGGAGGTCAGCACCGCGGCCGTCACTTCGAAGACGTTGTTGTAGAGCACCGAGCGGGGCGCGATCACATGTTGCATGACCCCGAGCAGGCAGCCGTTGAAGAAGATGATGGGCATGTCGATGGGCCGCGCGCTGAATGCGAACGGTCCCACCATGGCCGTGGCGAGCCCGTACACAAACACGATGATCCATTTGTTGAACCGCGGCTTCTTGGTCATGAGCTCCTCCAGTTCGCCGGTGGCCTCTTCGATCCCGATCACGTCGTGGATGACGTTCTTATACACGTTGTGCGTGTCCGAGAGACGGCCCAGGTTCACGCCTTGCACCACGCGAACGAGCTTCACTTCCGTCGTTCGGGTGCTAGGGTCATCGAAGGCCATGATCATGCATCCCGGGACGTACAGGTACTGGCTCTCGATCTCCAGCACTTTCGAGGTCATCAGCATGTATTCTTCCAAGCGATGAGTCGGCGCCCCGAACATCATCAGCGCCTTGCACAGTTGCATGATGTACCGCTGTCGTGCGATGATCTCGGCGATGCGGAGAGTCACCTGGATCTCATCTTCCAGTCGGAAGCTGCGCCGCCGAGAATGCTTGTCGCGGCGCCTTGAGGCCACGCCCAGAAGCTGGTTCGAGATCGGGGTGCTGGCGCCACTATGACTGGCGGCCCCAACCAAGGTGGACGTGGACATGTTAGGCGGCTTCTTGTACCATCGCGGCTTTCCCTTGCGAGGAGTGGTCGTCCCTGGGGTGCTTCCACCGAACGGAGTCCACATCCCCGAGGGCATGTTGAGTCCCCGAGTCGATTTTTGGACCTGATCCAGACCCCCGCTGAGGCGTAGCAGGTGCGACAATATCCCGCCGGTTGGTTGGCTCTCAGTGCCTCCACCAAATTCGTCTGTATCATCTGGAGGCATGTCGATCGCATGATGCAAGGCTGAATCGCGGCGAGTGCTCCGGCGACGCCCGGTATCGTCGTGCGTCAAGCCCCGGATGATGCGGTGCGCTTCCGAGCTGCATGTGATCTGATCCTTGACCTCTGCCTCTTGATTGATTTGCACATCCGTGCTGCGACGACGATAGTCGATCGGTTGCAGGTCATCCTCGCCTTCTGTTGGGCGACCCAGGCGAGCAGCCCAGTGGGCGGTCTTCTGTTTGACTGTATCCCGAAAAGCTCTGAGGCGTGTCCTCTTGGATCGCTTTTCTGCTGTGTTGGATTCACGAGATGGTGATCCCTCGAGGTACTCCGGTTCCCATCTATAACCAACTGCGGCCCGCGTATTCCGTCTCCTAGGTGCTTCTGTGATGTCTATGGATGGATGCGCCGACGAGCGACGCCGTAGATGAGACGATGACTGACTTAGAGGGCCGACTCCGAGCTGCCAGTCTCCGTACGAGAACGTTCTATCTGCCCCGAAGTGAACGCGATGACCCTGCGTAGAATGCGGGCTGCCCGGGGAAGTGTCACTGTCTGAGCTTGCATTGCGCCGATCGTCCGGGTCTGAATGAATTTCTTCCTGATGCTGCACGCTGTGATAGCTGATGGGGGAGGAGGAGCCGCTCGACTCGCCACTTGATCTCTTTTCCGACATGGTGGCTGCTGATCTGTAGTTTGAGTAAATTGCGGATCAGTCGGTTGAGGTCATAGGCCTCTTATTAGTGGCGTGAGGATTCACCCGACAGTGCTTGAACAATCAGGGAGTCAACTCCCTGCGCAAAGCACAAGTCTCCGTTGAAGTGGCAGTCATCTCATCAATTTGCAAGACTAGGCATGCTAGGTGAAAAACCTCGGTGGGAACATCCTGTGACTGAAAGAACAGCATAATAAAGGGATTGTCTCACGAAACATGATGATCCTGCATGGAGACTTATAATGAGACGCAAATGCCTAGGACCGTCTGAGGGTGCAAGACAACGCTCGACCAGCACAGCGAACGTCATGCGCACCAAAGCAGTGCTGGCAGTTGTCCGGTTCGAAGATGCGAGGCAAATGTAACCTTATCCGGAGTCGATGACGCATTTCGATTCCAATAAACTTCTCGGCATCAGTCGGCAACAGTGGGGCCAACCTCAGGTTTGAAGGCTGGGTAAGTACATCTCATTTCGCTCAAGATGAGCTCAGACCAATGTAATAAGGGGGATTTGTAGCATGCTAGACCTGTTATTCTTTACTGCCTGAGGCAGAAGGTAGCCTTCAGACTAATCTAGATCTTCATACATACAGATTTACCGGCGGCGAAATAGCATGCAAGAAGTCAAAAAGGATCTAGAATGTCACCAAAGCTTGGGAGATTCCGATGTATGCTAAGAGATACACTGAATGAAAACCTTTTGTGAAAGGTATATACTGTAGGCAGTAGCCGAAACGATTGTCCATGTCAGGGAAGTACTAGTAAACTCGGCCTGAGCACTGTCACCCGCGTTTTGGAAAGGGATAGCAGTGACGATCTCTCTGCATACTGTGGGGCAGATCCTATAGTATAGCTTAGAAAGAGGTGACAATTCATGAGTTCAAGAAATGCCAGAAGTTGTTTAGATGTGGCTATGGATGAATTAAGGAGACAAAAAACGTGGGGGAAGATAGAGGCGGATGACTAATTGCCTGGTCGGTCAATCCTGCCGATTGGCCGGAGGCCTCTGGGACTTTCCCTTGTGCGGCGTGGCGCCCGGCAGTTCCACAACACGGCGTGTTCTGGACTCTGCAACTTCTCCACGATTAAATCTTGTAATCTACTCGCAATTCTACGCGCCATACTCATCCCCTGTGATGGGCTCTCCTACCAAACCATACCAATGCCAGCGATGCCCCAGGACATTCGCTCGCCTAGAGCATCTTCAGCGTCATGACCGCTCACGTATAGACCCCCTCTTCTATCATTCTATGATCTGTGATGACAAATCCAATTGACCCCGAGGCGCAGACACAAAAGAGAAGCCGTACATATGCACCAAATGCCCCAAGTCATTCACGCGCAAGTCAGTTACCACCGATTCTCTTCGATTATGACTTGAGAATCCCGCTAATACCTTAGTAGAGACCTATTGGCGCGTCACGAACGCCTGGCTCACAGCAGCCCGACCCTGGATGCTACACCAACAAGCTCACCGCAGCCTGCTTCTCCTCAAATATTTGACGGACTTAATGTTCTGGCATCAGCAGTGGCTGGCCGTCCACTTTCGCCAACTCCTCGGCAGGGTCAGCCGATAACTACGGCTTCCCCAGCTTCCTTCCCAGTGCCGTTAGCGGACACGGTTCCAGGGCATACTGTCGCAAACTCCCAAACGGCGGCAGCAGCGCCTCCTGAAGCTCCTGGGTTTACCGAACCTTTTACCAGTTATGGCCAGTCTATCTCCCATGATGGGGATGACTTCACCACTTTCCTAGATAGCATTCCGCTTCCAAGTCACCCTTACTCACCCACTTACCAACCACTTCCTCTCTTCCCTGCCTTTCATTTTGACCCAGCAACTTCGGATTACGGTCACACCGTTGCGAAGGGCAAGTCAGCCAAGGACATTGGCTCACCTTCCACACCTGTATTGCCCCGACATGGAACGCAGTTGCCATCACTCCAACCGGACAGGACTCAGGCACCCTATAAGGCTCGTGAGCCTAGTAGCCAAATATCGGTAACGACGCAGTGCAGGGACCGCATTATTGCAACCCTGACAGACTATGCCAACGTCGTTCATAATTCGTTTGTCCCGTCGCGACACGCCTTATCCCGCTGTCTTGGTGGGTATATGAATGGTTTTCATGACCACTATCCATTTTTGCACATCGCCACGCTGGACACGGATGCGACCCCCGTGCATCTGCTTCTCGCTATGGCTGCTTTAGGAGCTCAGTACTGCCGCGAGCCTGACACGAGTCTGGAACTATTTAAGGTTGCAAAGGCCGTCACTCTTGAGCATGTCCGGAGAGAATTCCAGTGGGGTTGCTCCACTCACCAAATGGCAAATCATGTCGACAAGGCGGTCAGAGATCAGGATATCATTGAAACTATTCAGGCATTTCTCATATTGATGTCCGTTTCATGCTGGTTTGAGCGCGATCCCCCACATCACGAGGCTCTTTACATGCGAAGCGTCATGGAAACTCTTCTCCGACAGGGGGGATTAAACGAGCTGCCGGCACAGGATGGGACTTGGGAGAGCTGGATCCGAAACGAATGTGTCAAGAGGACGAAGCTGATCGTCTTTTGTTTTTTCAGCGTGCATACTATTGTGTTTGACATACCGCCGCTGATCTTGACTGAAGAGCTCACTCTTGACTTGCCTTGCACAGAAAAAGAATGGAATGCGACGAGTGCGAGCCAGTGGCTTATGGAGAGAAGCCAAAGCCGCGGGGAGCCTAAGCTACAAGCTGCCTTGAATGCACTTTTTCCACAATCCTCTGGAGCCAAAGGTCGCCTGGAAAGTTTCACCTCGATGGGCGGCTATGTACTGATCCATGCAATGATTCAAAACATTTGGTTGATGCAAAAAGCCAGTCGCCTCCCCGTCTCCAGTGGTGGCTTCTTATCACCAGCAGTGATCAATTCTCTAGAACAGGCGTTAGAAAACTGGTGTCAGTGCTGGGAACACAATCAGGAATCCTCCATTGATCCTTTTAACCCTCACGGTCCGCTCTCTTTCACCTCGACAGCTCTCCTCCGTCTAGCATATATCCGTCTCAATGCCGATTTCAGCTCCGCGCGACGACTACAAACCTGGAACCCGGATGAGATAGCCCGTTCCTTGAAGGATGAGTTATGTGTGCAACGGAGCGATAGACTTACTCGCGCCGCATTACACTGTGCTCACGCGCTCAGCACACCCATCAAACTGGGCATAAACTATGTGGCGCACACTCTTGTCGTGTCCTGGTCCAATCAGTACGCCTTGTGCTCGCTTGAATGTGCCGTACTACTGGCCAAGTGGCTAGAGGTGGCGACAGTCCCAAGTCCAGAGCCGAGTCTGACTGAACAAGAGAACAAGCTGCTTGAATTTGTTTTAGAGATGGTCATGGAAGTCCAGCACGGAGTTTCCCGCGACTGGCTCCTGTCGAATAACACAAGACTAAGTGCAACTGTGACAAGGCTCTGGGCGAGGTTGTTTACAGGAGATTATATATGGCAGCTGGTCAACCTAATAGGTCGCTCTCTCAATCGTTACGCCGAGATACTGGAACCCACAAATGGCCCGGTGTGAACCAGCTAGATTGTCATCATATACATAGATTTTTAGATTAGAAGATACCCCAAAAGAAACTTAGAGAAATCCCATCAGTCCGGGCGCTGTGTGAGGTAGCCATTGCCTTTTTCATCGCTGTGGAATTGAGATGGGCAAGCAAGGGCAGCCCCTCAAAATGACGCCATCCTCACCCTGAAGGCATCACCGCTACACTATCGTCGCTCCCTCACGCCGCACCAACGACTTGGCAAAGACGAAGAGGCGGGGAGTGTTGCCTCTAGGTGAACCCTGCTGTGGATGCCGATGTCTGGACAAATCCCGTTGAAGTACGCTTATCTATCCCCCCTTGACAATCCGGACTAGGGATTGCGAGCTCACGGCGAGGTACATACACTAAGAACTTTGGTGTACTCTATCAGGGCGACTTTGCTTTGCATAGCATGCATTCTATCATTGCATCCGGCTATATCGCCGAAGAGCGGCGATAAATGTTCTCGATCAACCAGTGGCACTATACGCGACCAGCTTGGCAATGGCGTGCTAGAAATCTCGACAGTTCAAATTGGAGACAACCTGCCTCGCATGAGGTATCGCGGATCTGGAACCTGGACCTCCTACAATTGTCACTCTGTGCTTTCTGAGAGACTTGCCTTGCGCAACATGGCTAAAACAGGCGACATCGACCAACAGTCCGTTGGTCCACACCCAACAAGTCACTCGGCCGTACAAGACTCGGTCGGAAGCAAAGATGGCGTCTATGTCCAGACACAGCAGTTCAACGATAGCGCTTCCGACTTACAGGGACACAATCCGTTCGCGGACCCAGAGGTCGCGGAGCGCTACGCTATGATCTATGAGAAGGCACAGTACGAGTGTCGACACGTCTTTGATCCGACCCTCACGTGGACCCCGGAGGAAGAGAAAGCGTTGGTTCGCAAGCTGGACTGGCGTGTGTGTCTGTGGGCTGTATGTCAACTTCTGTTCTTGTTTGTTTACATAACTTGCTCACTGACTGGGTGTTTTAGTGTGTGATGTTCTTTGGTCTTCAGGTTGACAGAGGCAATCTCGTCCAAGCGGTGTCAGATAATTTGCTGAATGACCTTGGGTTGACGACTGATAGTAAGACAGCTAGTCACTCTGCATTATGGCCTGGAGTTAACATGGTTAGACTACAACACCGGTAACACTATCTTTCTCGTCTCCTTTCTGCTTGCAGAGTTACCGTCGCAATTGGTGTCCAAGAAGATGGGGCCGGATCGGTGGATCCCGATGCAGATGACCCTTTGGTCTATCGTTGCAGCAGCCCAGGCTGGCTTGACTGGAAAGCGGACTTTCTACGCTACGAGAGCGCTTCTGGGGATTCTCGAGGTAACCGAATCTTTCCAAAGATTGCTTCCTTGCTCTAACTTTTCAATAGGGTGGCTTTATTCCTGATATTGTTCTGTGGTTGTCGTACTTCTATACCAGCAGAGAACTCCCGACTCGTTTAAGGTGATCATACTTCGCTGGGCTCGTGACATATATACTCATCTTTCCCTTAGTATCTTTTGGACTGCTCTTTCAACCACTACCATTATCACCTCATTCATTGCATTCGGAGTCCTTCATATGCGGGGCATCCAAGGTATGGCCGGCTGGAGGTGAGTAGATGCTTCTCGAGCCTCACGAGCGTGCACTAAAGCATGGTATCCAGGTGGCTTTTCCTTATTGAAGGGCTGATCACACTCCTCGTCGGTCTGGCCTCGTTCTTTCGCATGCCTGCCTCTGCCGTCGACACAAAGAAGTGGTTCCGCCCCAAGGGATGGTTCACGGATCGGGAAGTCAGCATCGTGGTGAACCGGGTCCTTCGAGACGACCCTTCCAAAGGTCAGCATTTGCATCTCTGCTTCCTCTTAGACCATTCTCTCTCAGACCCATGAAGCTCACACAACATCACCAGGGGACATGCATAATCGGCAGCCCATCACCCCTCGCCGCCTCTGGAACTCCCTGCGCGACTACGACCTCTGGCCCATCTACATCCTCGGCCTGATCGTCTACATTCCCCAAACACCCGTTTCGGCCTACATTACGCTCACACTTAAAAGTGTCGGCTTCAGTACGGTGAGTCACGAACCCCTCGTCAGCTCCAGCACGATCAGCTGAACATTGACATCAAACAGTTCACCACGAACCTCCTCACCATCCCTTCCAGCGTTGGCCACATCATCACCCTCCTCCTCCTAACCCGCCTGAGCGAATATCTCAACGAACGCACCTTCGTCGCCATGCTCCAAAGCATCTGGACCCTACCCTGCGTCATCGCCCTGCGCTTCTGGTCCGGCACCATGACCAACGCGTGGGGCACCTTCGGCCTCGTAACGACGCTGCTATGCTACCCGTACTGCCACGCGATTCTGGTCGGGTGGATCTCGAAGAACTCAAACAACGTGGGCACACGAACGATCTCCGCGGCGCTGTACAACAGTGAGTTGCCCCTTACCCTACCACCCTTTCCAATAACAGAAACCCGGAGTGAATCATCTACAAACGATGAGATCCAACCCCACCCTCTCAAGCCCCTCTGAATCCAAGTGCTAGCGCTGACACCCTCTGCTACATCCAGTGTTCGTCCAAGTCGGCGGCATCATCGGGAACAACATCTACCGTACAGACGACCAACCCAAGTACCGTCGGGGAAACTCCGTGCTTCTGGGCATCAACGTCCTCGCGATCGTGCTGTTCTTGCTTACGAAGGTCTATTATGTTCTGCGGAACAAGCATAGGGATAAGGTTTGGAATGCTATGACGGAGGAGGTGGGTTCTCTCTTGTTACTCCGACTACCCATAGCATTCGATGCGGTTGCTAATAGTCCCTCTTTTCTGTTGTGCAGCAACGACAGCATTACATCAATACCACGACGGAAACTGGGAGCAAGCGGTTGGATTTCCGATTTGCGCATTGATCTTCGTTGTGGTCTACTGTGCGTCGATCGAGGATTGTGTATATGCTCGGTCACTCTCGAATGAATATGCAAGGATGAATTATTCTATCAGTGTTTGATTGCAGGTGTCCGCAATAATGATGGGTTGATAATTTGTGCTCCACCCGAGAAGCGGATATATATCAGCGATGTTGCGGCTGTTGTGCGAAAGAAAGGATTAGAATCAACCATACCAGAATATCCTCGTCAAGCCGGGTTGCAAGTCACAGATACTAGATGAGCTCCTAGAGGAATAAGTGCAGGAATGGAGAGATTTGGAGGCGATTATGTATTGTGGCTGGGTGATGCCGAAGTGACGAAGAAAGGATAATGATGAGTTGATGATGGTAAATTACGTCACACTATTATAGTTTGTATTGTTTGGTGACGTATCAACAAATGGGTCGGTAGCTCAGTGGTAGAGCGTAGGATTGCAGATCCCGAGGTCACGCGTTCGATCCGCGTTCGGCCCTCTCTTTTTCCTTTTTGTATTCCTGCATACACCTTCATATATACCACGCCCAAGTCAACAAAGAGCCTACATTGGATTCCCGTAGTTAGGCTACCATATTGTACACCCCCATTTACCACAGCACCTACCTCCTGAAAGTCCATGTCTACCTACCTATTATACTTTACCCACGTTTGATGCTCAAACGACTGTCTCAACATCGTCCCAACCCCATCCAACATGCAAAGGCCAGCTCGTCTGATACCCGGGTTCTCCCATTGATCCCCAACAGCCGAAACCTTCGGGCTTATCAGGATCTCCTCCCAGGTAGGTGACTACCAAAGGGTATGGACACACAATCCTCGACAGACTCCCATCTTCCGATACAGCTGGAAGGCTATCCGGAGCCATCCCCATTTCTACCCATGTTGTCAGTGCGGCCATCATGGCCGAAGGAGCAGGGCCCGGCCCTGAGCCACAGTGGCCGACCCCTGGAGCCTCGAAATACCGGTAAAAGTCCATGACTGCAGGATCACGCTCTGTCACGGCTGCATAGTAGGCCTTGGACCCACCGGGAGCTATTTTCTCGTCGTTCAGCCCATGCCAGTGAATGATCTTACCTCCGCGCTTCTTGAACTCGTGAAGATCAGGGGAGTCGGCGCTGATTATGGACCGATAGCCGGCGACCGAGAGACGAAACAAGCCTTCAAACTCTGGATATGTCAACTTCAACTGATATAGATCTAGATCTGGGTTCTGCGCGAGGAACAACGACAGCCAGTCGATCACAACGCGATAGAGCGTAGGGTTACAACTATGATTGTGGACTGCTTCCGACGAGGAACACTCAGTGCCGTGCCACAGCGAACCTCGTGAAAAGCCATGCCACAAAGGCACCCCGTACTGATCGCGCATGCCCTGCCACATCTTCTGAGCCAGAATGACCACATCAAGCGTAATCTCAACGTCGACTCCGTCACCGCAGTCGACATGCTTGCCGACAAGGAGAAGCGCATTAAAGTCACAAAGGTCTGGCTCGGTAATGATTCCATCGATGACTCCATCACGATCGTCGCAGGCCTTGATGACCTCCGCAGCAATAGCGTTCATCACGCAGGGAGATGGATAGATGTTCAGCAAACGCATCGCAAAGTTGAACCAATAGCTCACCGGCATCGAATGCGCCCAGCTGAGAGATGGAGAACCCGCTCAAATCCCATCAAAAGCATCGGGAAACCTCTGCGCGAGCACCATTCCCTGGCGGCCGCCCCCGGAGCATCCGTTCCAGTAGGAGCGCTTCGGCACCTCTCCGTAGAATTGTTGGACAATGTCTTTCGCCAGAATAGCCATCTCGGACAGAGCGACGGAGGAGAAATCCAGCAGCCGGGCCACGTTCACATGCCCCGACTCGTCATCGAGCGCCCATTCTCGTGCCGACGGGGCGAATGCATTATGTCCCAAGTCGGAGCTAACTGCTGCATACCCCTCGGCCACGGCCATGGCCGTGGCACTGTCACCGCGGGTCCCCGCGAAATCGTCGCCACCGATGCCCTGCAGGCGCTGGTTCCAACCCGAGAGAGGTAGCCACACCTTGATGTTAATCAAATCATCCCAACCGGGGTGGGTGTAAGTCAGGCTGACATTGCAGAAGGTCACGCTGACTCGACGATGCTTGATTGGATTGACTTGAAGTCCGTCAATCTCCATGTCGAACACAGGGAAGACCATGGACGCTACCACTTCAGTACCCGGGAGAGAGGGTCGACGAACTTGGAGGGGCGAACACTCAGCTGCTGTGAGTGATGTGAACAAACTGACCTCGATGGCTAAGAGGAATAGGATGAAACTAAACCAATCCATGATCACTGATACTGTATACTCGTTGATAGTGATAGCAATAGATGACTGTGATCAGCATCACTACCTGAGATTTCTCATCCTCATTACATGCTGCGGATTTCAACTTGTTTTCGGCAGGTGCGATCAAACGAAAAAAGGCAGTCTCACTGCACTCGACATCCCGAATTCTACAGCATTGAAGCCTAGTGTGATGCACAAAGAAGATATCAATCATGATACTCATCAACGCCGGCAATATTTTCATCGCCAAGGTGCAGAAACGGAAAATTCGCCGCACCGATTGTGAAGCTAAACAAAGGGGTTTGACTCCGGGCCATTCGAAGCACGAAGACGAGATCGGCAACCCTATGGCCTCTGCAGAAGCCTTCACTAAGAAAGAGCGACGTTTTGGATTCGTGGAAGATAATCCTCCTGGATTCACTTGTCGCCAGAAAAAACCGGCGCACAGTTTCCGGCAAGTTGCTTAGCCGCTTCTGGAGCGGAAGGAATGCCTTTAATATCGTCTGATATGAGCCAAGAAGTCGGAGATGATTCTTGGCAGTATGCAGGGGGCAGCTCGCGTCGCTCACCATGACGAGGCCTACGTACTCACTGTACTCGAGACGAGCCTCTTGAGGCAAGAAGCAGGGTCTTTCCGACCGTTCCGCCCCAGGGTTGTTGGCCCGCTGAGCAATGACGATGCGCCGTGCCGCCACGACTGATGAATGCTTCGTTTCGTATCGTGCCATGCCCAGCAAAACAAGACTCGTCACACAAGACTAAGACTTTTGCTAAGCAAGTTGCCAAGCCGACTGGTCCGGACGTCGGATGTTTGCACTGCATTTAACCACAAATTTGCCGAAGCAGTGCGGCATGGGATCGGCAGTCAGGGGCCCACCGCGGAACCCAAGCTATTCTGTTTGAGACTTGATGACGACGATCATCATTGATTGTGATTCTCTGAGGCGTCGAGACGCCGACTGCCGAGCCAACGAACGGGTATGGTGAAACAGCGTGGATTCGAGGAGGTCCGTGGAGCCGTTCGAGATTGATATCGGGCGGGACCTGTTATCGAGGAGCTGGACCTAGAAGCTGCCTTCACGGTATAAAAGCTTCACTTCTTTTCTTGCTCTGATCGTCTCAACAACCACGTTCTCTCTTTCGACTCTGTTGATCAGACACTCATTCCTTCTTTTATTCTCTCTTTATCACGATTCTGTTGACCAGAATTCATCATGCACTCCTTCCAGCTTCTCGGCCTGGCCGCTGTCGGCTCCGTCGTCTCGGCCGCTCCTACTGCTTCTCGTGTCTCCGACCTTGTGAAGAAGTCCTCTTCTACCTGCACTTTCACCTCTGCCAGCGAGGCTAGCGAGAGTATCTCTTCGTGCTCCAACGTCGTCCTCAGCAACATCGAGGTGCCCGCCGGAGAGACCCTTGACCTGTCCGACGCCGCTGACGGTGCCACCGTAAGTTTTTTCTATAACGACCACTAGTTTTAGACTCAGCTAACGATATCAGATCACTTTTGAGGGCACCACCAGCTTCGGCTACGAGGAATGGGACGGTCCTCTTATCCGTTTCGGCGGCAAGCAGCTCACCATCACCCAGTCTGACGGTGCTGTCATCGACGGTGATGGCTCTCGCTGGTGGGACAGCGAGGGCACCAACGGTGGCAAGACCAAGCCCAAGTTCATGTACGTCCACGATGTCGAGGATTCGACCATCAAGGGCCTGCAGATCAAGAACACTCCGGTGCAGGCCATCAGTGTGCAGGCGACCAACGTCTACCTGACCGACATCACCATCGACAACTCCGACGGTGACGACAACGGTGGCCACAACACCGATGGATTCGACATCAGCGAGAGTACTGGCGTGTACATCAGCGGTGCTACCGTCAAGAACCAGGACGACTGCATCGCCATCAACTCCGGCGAGAACATCCTCTTCACCGGCGGCACCTGCTCAGGTGGCCACGGTCTGTCCATCGGCTCCGTGGGTGGCCGTGATGACAACACCGTCAAGAACGTGACCATCTCGGACTCGACCGTCACGGACTCGGCCAACGGTGTCCGCATCAAGACCATCTACGGCGACACCGGTGATGTTAGCGAGATCACCTACTCCAACATCCAGCTCTCCGGCATCACCGACTACGGAATCGTCATCGAGCAGGACTACGAGAACGGCAGCCCTACTGGTACCCCCTCCACCGGTGTCCCCATCACCGACGTGACCGTCGATGGTATCACCGGCTCGATCGAGGATGACGCTGTCCAGGTCTACATCCTCTGCGGTGACGGCAGCTGCTCCGACTGGACCTGGTCCGGCGTTGACATCACCGGTGGTGAGACCAGCTCCGACTGCGAGAACGTTCCCTCCGGTGCTTCTTGCTAGAGCTAGACGGGGGCTGGTGTCCGAGTTGCTTTTTTTTTCTCCGTTCACCAGGTTGCGGCACAATGCTAAATCAAGATGTCCGGCTTTCATCTGTGTACTCCGAATGTATAATACTCTGTCTTCATAGTCAATAAAGTTACACTCTTGCTTTGATCGCATCTTGGCACCTTATCCAGACTAGTGAGACCTATTAGTGTTTGACTCTCATCCGATTCGCCTTGCAATTAGTAGCGACTAGGCCCCGGATCTAACTTTGCTATAACTATAATGCCTCTGGTCAAGAGGGAGAGCAAGTCTCCCAAGATACTGACAGACCCGTCCTAATTGCTGATTAGATCTCATTAACGGGTCTTTCGGCGATTGAAAGCACGATATCTCACGTAATCAATAAAAAGATATGACATAACGTATAACTCCGTAGTCGACGAATCCTCGGGACGAGACTCCCGTACGGCATGCAAAGGTGGGAAAAAACCAAAAAGAAATGACCTACGCAGGGCTCGAACCTGCAATCTCTTGATTCGTAGTCAAGCGCCTTACCATTGGGCCAGCAGGCCTTGCTGTTGTAATGGTGATGGAATAGAAACCCTTCTCCCTATCTCAGTAAAGAGTAGTGCTTACCGAGAAGTGACCCGACAAGTGGATCTAGATGCCCCTGGCGTCAAGTGCGTATCACGTCTCGGCATAGAAGTAGATATATAATCAATTACATTGATAGATATGCTTGTGCATTATATAATTTATTCCAAAACACATGCACCTGTCGGTCAGTTCAAGCATCCACCTCCGACATCAAGCGTTGCGATTCCGCATTCTCCTGCGCGTGGCGCACATGGAACTCGAAGCTCAGTTCTCCGACGAGACTTCTCACATCACTGACCATATCATGTTAGCGACTGTTTGTTTCTCAAAGGAAGGGAGAGAAAAACGAGACAAACTCAAATCGCACAGATAAACATACCGTAAAAGATCATCCAACGTAAAGCTGACCACCGACCGCAGCACCTCCAGACAGACAAATGCCGAAAACGCCGGATCCTCGACGTGGCGGATGCTCAGCAGCTCGCCGTCGATGCGCTGCAGCTCCCGCGCTAGCGGGAAGGAGTCGCCCGTCGCGAGGTACGGCGGCAGCGGCTGCGCGTTGGTCATGGACGCCGACAGATGGCAGAGCAGCGAGGTGATCTGGTGCGACTTGAAGCCCGCGGACTGCAGCGCGATCGACGCCAGTCTCGCGACCCACTTGTTTTCTTCGGAGTTGCTGCCGGCGCCGGACTGGCTGTCGACGGATAAAGCGTCCAGGGCCTGCGTGGTGTGGGCCATCAGCGCCATGCTGGTGAGCGTGCGCTGGATCTGGCCGATGATGCGGTCGTAGGTCGGCTTGGGGAATCTGCCACCGATCGGGGGCTCGAAGGTGCTGAAGTGGCTGTGCATGCGGAGGCTGTTGAGGAGGATCATCTCCTCCTTGAAGATCTTGTGGCGGGTGTGGTCGAGGTGGTGGGCGGCGGAGCGCACGTCGTCGTCGACGCTGCCGAGCTCGCCGTTGAGCCAGAGCTCGATCGTCGTGTGCATGCAGCTGTAGAACTTGGCGAGAACAAAGAGACCCCGTCCGAGGGCTTTGCGCAGGGTCGATTTGGCGGTGATTGGGTACGGAAAGATCACCCAGAAGAAGGAGATGGCGCAGCCGGCGGCGACTGCTGCGAGTTTGTAGGGGCCGAAGATGTAGATGGGGTAATAGGGCTGGCCGTTGGAGGTGGCGACTTCGACTCCGAGTTTGCGGACCTAGAGAGTTTTGAAATCCAGTTAGACCCGAGGATTGCTTGGAAGAAATGCAAAGAGGGCGGACAGACTTGTAACTCGTATCCCACAATAACGTTGAATGTCACTATGGCAATTACAGTTGCGCCGAAGTACTGAGGAACCTTGATGTAGAAGTAGTACTGCCAGGAGAGTCAGCGATGAGTGATTGAGAGTTCTTCCCCAACAGACTTACTTCAAATATGTTTCCAATGTAAAGGAATACTATGACTCCTGCAGTCTTTCCATCCACTATGTACCACACGATCAAGCTCAACACCATCGACACGACGGTCGCAGCAATTCGAGCCACAAAGCCGAACATCGTCTGCCCACTGGTTGGGTTCATACCGATCACAATGACAATCATGGCCCAGATGCATCTTTGGTGGATGAAGAAATCTTGGGTCTGCCGCAGGAAGGCTAGGATACCGACGCAAAATGCCGCTGCTGCCACCCGAAATCCGAAAATGCTCTGCTCAGACTTGATAACTTTCGATATGATGCGAAGCACTATGCTTCCCTTCTCAAAGAAATTGGCAGGCGGCAGGTGCTCGGGGTCTGGAAATGTCTCTGCTTCGCGCTCTTCATAGACAGCGGATGGATTGACGTGGGAAGACTGTCGTCGGCCAGAACCTTCCCCGGATTCCTTTTGTTCAGAATCAGGAGACAACCAC